AAGTATAAATACTAAACCAATTAAACCAGAACTATTTGTGGGTGTGACTGAAGTTCAGTTGTTGCGTCAGAGTTACAGAAACTCATGACCAACGTTACATTAAAACAGAAGTGAAAGAGGAATTACAAGAAGGTCAAAAAGAGCGAGGGCACAGCCTCCCTAACAAAATGACAAAAGTTTTTATATTTTCTTTTGTTTTTGATACAAACAACACAAATCAAAACTTTATTTGAGGAGGAAAAAAAAACTACAATTTGTATAAAATAAGAAGAAAATGTTGTTTTATGACAAAAAATCGATATTTAGCAAGAAGATAAATGTCATGTCACTTATTGTATGAAGAAATATTAAAAAATAAAACGCTTTAATGCTGAAGGTTCAGTTTATCAGGAGGACGTGTTTCTTTCTTCCTTTTATTCACAAAACTTTTATCATTTTATGCCGAACAGAGGCCTTAACATTCTGTTAAAGTCCTTTTTGTCACCATTCACATTTTATTTTTGCTTTTATATCATAAAGTAATATCATAAAGAACCTGAACTATAATTATTTTTAGATGAAACAGACAAAAAAGCCTCGACAGCGCCTGATTTCAAGTGGTTGGAGTGCTCAGTTTATTCAACCTGCAACACAAATATTCTTCAAATGTTCAAAACCTGTTAAACAAATGTAGTAAAGCAGAGTTTTAATGTGACTTGAGCTTCTTTCCGTCCTTCCTGCTGCTCCTCAGTGACACTAAAACCGGTTCAAACCCTCTGGCTAATGCTAAACGACGGTGGGGTTAGCGCTTCTCTCAGTGACAAAAACACAAACTAACACTGACATGCTGCCACAAACGTCTTCTGCGTGCACACATTCACGCTCTGAGAAACACACACACTGTATAAAAGTAGGATTCAGAGTAAAAACTGTACACCAGCACACAGCGTGCCGGTCGGATCGAGCTGAGATGAAGTCAGACGGGTCAGAGTGGCGTCCGACAAGGCACGATTCAACGCTGGAGACGCGTCTGAACATTTTAAATGTCATCACAAAAAAACAACTTTAAGTCAAAGTTCATCTGAAAAACACAAATAGTTTTAAACCAAAAGTCCGTCTGTGATCAATCATCTGTTCGGTGTAATTCAGGCTCCGTTCACACTGTAAAACATCAGAAAATGTGCTGTTGCAGTTCCTCTGGTGGCCACTAGGAGCTGCTAGAAACAACCCGCCTGTATTGAAATGAAGCAGAAAATTTCTTTACACAAACAAAAACCAGTGTTACCATTCATCTTTTCCAAACTCGCACCAAAAAAGTTCAAATTTGTCTGAAAAACACACAAAAAAAGTCGCAGCTGTTTTAGTTGTAGTTCCTTCAGCTGCCACCGGATGCCGCTACTGTATTGAAATTATCTGAAAACCAGCTATACTTCCTGAAAAGTTAAAATCAATGCAGTTTTTTTTTTTAAAAAAACCTACTTAAATATCCTTCAAATTCATCTGAAAAACAAAGAATCTTTAAAAACTGTTTAGTTGCAGTTGCTCTAATGGCCACCAGGTGTTGCTAAAACTTTCTGCTGTGTTGAAAATAATTGGACAACCAGCAAATTCAAATCTTTGTTGTCATTTTTTTCAAGCTTGTGTTAATATCCTTCAAGATCATCTTAAAAATATGGAACTCTGTGTTGGTTGTTAGTTGTAGTTCCTCAAATGGCCACCAGCTGCTGCGGAAAACATATTGAAATGAATTTTAAAAAAAAAAAAACATCTCCAGAAAAATAAAACCAATACTTTCATTCTAGACGTGCACCAAAGTCCTTTAAGTTCATCTAAAAAATATAATATTTTTAAACAAAAAGTTGCAGTTCCTCTGATGGCCACCGGATGTCACGAAAACACACGGTACAACTGTATTGAAATACACAAAATTATACACACAAATAAAAAAAACAAATACTGCTTCGTTCCTAACTTACACCAAAGCCGTTGAAGTAGTAGATTTTTTTTGAAGGCGATTTTTTTTTTTTATGTTTAGTTGCAGTTCCTCTAACGGCCACCAGGTGCTACGAAAACACAAATTTGTATTAAAATTAACTGACAAAGCCAAGAATTTGTCAAAAAAAATTTCCGAAATCCTTGAAGTCCATCTGAAAAGTAGATGATCGCAAAATCAAAATTTGCGTTTTGTTTAGTTGCAGTTCCTGTAATGGCCACCAGGTGCTGATAAATAGACTGTAGCATTCAAATTAATTGGAAAAAACACAAACTTCTCCACATAATTAAACATCGGTGCTGCTTTTTCCCCAAACTTGTGCAAAAAAATCCCTAAAGTTCATCTAAAAAACTGTTTTACGTTTAACGTTTTAAATAAAAAGTCGCAGTTTGTTTAGTTGCAGTTCCTCTGACGGCCACCGGATGCTGCTAAACACACAGTTTCTGTTCCTAACAGTTCAGTGTGAACAGAGCCGAATGTGATGGGAGCCGTTTGGTTCAGGCTGCTTCACGTCCGGACGTTTACAGTGTCGATACAACAACAGAAAACAAAAGACATCATGTGACGCCACAAACATGAACTGAACAACTGATCTGATCGCCGTGACGACAAACCGGCTCCTCAGTAAACAGCTCGCGGTCACGTCGTCAACAAATATGAAGGTCGGGTTAGCGGCTTCGCTCCAGCATCACCTGAACAGGTTCACCTGGAAAACAAACTGGTGCTGCTGGTGTGTGTCAGTGGGGTTGTTTGTGTCTCTTTGAGGTCGTTTTGTGTGTTTCTAGTCACTTTGTGTGTCTTCATAGTTGCTTCTGTGTGTATTTGTCATCTTTTAGTGTCTTTGAGGTCATTTTGTGTCTCTCCATAGTTGTTTTTGTGTCTCTTTGTTGTCACTTTTCACGTCTTGTACTTGTTTTGTCTCGTCTTCTGTCAAATTGTGGTCGTTTTGTGTCTCTTTCTATTTGTTTTGTGTGTCTTGTGTAGCTGTTTTGTCTCTTTGTGGTCAGTTTGCATCTTCTCTACGTCTCTCTTGTGTCTGTTTGTCGTCATTACTGCTGCTTTATGTCCGTCTGTAGCCGACTCACAGCGTCGCCGAGCACTGGGATTGTTTTTCACGTTTAACCTGCTGGAACCAGAGCGAAGCGCCGGCCGGCCTCGAGTCATCATCAGAGGTTTAAATGAACAAGTCGCCTCTGCTGCTGTTAACAAAGCTTCTAGTTTCTACGGCGTCCTTCTGCACCAACTGTAACAAAATACTATCTTCATCTTAAATGAAATAAAAACAACAAGGTAGCGTTCAAAAGACCGAAACAAGTCCGAGTCAGAGGAGGCACATTACCCAGACGAGTCGGACACACGATGAAACACCAGCTGTGCAGTTCAGACGTACGGAGTCTCGAGGGCGCCACCATCAGCATTTAGTTATAACCAATTTGTAAATGTATGCGTTTCTAAAAGCAGGTATAAAGAAAACAATTTAATCTGAGATATTCAAAAGTCAAGTGACAACACGTGATAACGTACCTGCTAAGGGTCATTTTATAAATACGTTTTTTTGTTAAAAAGAAATCATAAATATATATTTTTAATTAGCTTAATATTTAACTAACATTTTTACATAAATATAATAAATTACTAAAATATAGGAAGCTTTGTTTAAAACCAGCCTCAGATTAAATAAATTACCTGCTCGCTAACTTTGGCGCGATTCCTGCTAATTCTGCTCTATCCCTGTAAAAATATACAACAAACAGATTAAAACAACGTTAAATTTAACTCTGAGTCGGTTTATTTCTTTAGTATTTATCAGTTTACTCATTGATTATAATTAAACACACAAAAAACAATCTGAGCTCGTTAATGTTGGCACGCTTTAGACTCCGTACAGGCGTATTAACTGAACAACATCAAACAGCTTCTGGTAGAAAACGTAAGAAACAAACCTACAGTACGTCATAAACGGGTCGGTTCCTGTTTGGAAGCAGAATCATCAGGCAGCTCAAATTTAAACATGATTATTATTATTAATGCACAGAGAAAATAAAACAAGTGTATTTGCATAAATAGCGTTTACAGCACACGTCTGTAAAAGGTGTCGGCCGGCGCTGGCGGCTGCAGCCGGCGGTCGGATGGGCGGGCAGCTGGCGTCTACACGTTGATGGCGTGGGCGTGCTTCTTGCACAGAGGCTTGTCCTTCTTCGAGTAGAAAGGTTGACCCTCCAGGTTCACGTGGCAGACCTGCAGGAGACACAGTCGGGTTGGACCGGGTCGACAGAAATCTGTCTGTTTGCAGATTTAAATGTTGTTACTGAAGCCAAACTAAACTCTGGTCAGCTCCATCGTCCTGGAGGCAGGAATCTCAGAAACACCATCAGGCTGCACAAAGACCTCCTGGTCCTCCTGAGGTACTTACAGTCCTGTATTCGTCTCCTTCCATTAAAGAAAAGGCAAAACTCACAACAGTCACTCAAATAACTAGAAACTGAAAAAAGTAATAATAAATAAAAATTTGCTAAATTATAATTTAGTGAAATAAGACGTTGCTTTTGAATTTTGGTTGAAAAGAATAATTAAAAAAAAAAAAAAAAAAACTGTCCCAGACCAATGAGAGGCCTTTGCTGATGAGCAGTGGGCCAGAACACCTGTCAACAGGTGCACAAGACATCTCTGAGTCTCTCTCCTTCTTGTCCTGGTTGCTCTGTTTCCATAGAGACGCAGGACTTTATGTTGCAGCTAAAAATGAGCCCACAATGAGAACAAAAACCAAAACCAAACAAACGCCCAGAAACTGGTTGGAGCTCAGAGGGTTAAAAAGCAGAGGACCACATACGGAGCCCTGAGGTCCACCACCGTTCATATACATGCAAAGAACAAAGAATCCAAACAGGATATGAACCTCCAGAGGAAACAGAGTCTGAAGAACGACACAAACTAAACTCAGTGAGCTGTTTGGACGGCTAGAGGACGTATAAACAGATCAAATAAAGCTACGTGTCGAGGAAACCCAGGTGATGTTAGTTCACCTGTGTTGTTTCTGGTTTCTTACCGCGCAGACGAAGCAGGTGTCGTGCCAGGTGTGACCCAGAGCCTCGATGAACTTATCTCCAGCCTCCACCGGGAAGTCGCAGCCGTGACACTTGGTGCTGAACAGTGCAATGTAGTCTGAAGGACACACACAGAGTTCAGTCGGACCTCCACAATCTGAACTCATCAATCAGCTAAAATCAGCTCCTTTAAACACAAACCCAGAGTTCCCCTGATCACAGACAGATGATAATGTGACGGAGCATCTCTGGGGTTCAGAGAAGTCAATAAACAACATCAACATGATACTGAACACCTTCACAGTGATGCTGTTTGTTTTTTATCCTTTAAAAGGAAACATGTAGACAGCATGTTCAAATGCTTCATGTGCACCAGGACTTCTTCTACTGCCGTAATATGTGTTGGTTTGTGTCTCTTAGAAGTCCATTTGTGTTTGTTTCTGGTCTTTTTTGTCCTCTGAGGTTGTTTTGTGTCTCTTTGTGGTGTTTGTGTGTCTCTTTGTCGGGTTTTGTTTCTCTTTGCAGTTGTTCTGAGTCTGTTTTTGGTGTTTTTCTGTCTCTTAATAGTTGATTTATGTCTTTATAGTGGTTTTCTTTTTGTCTCTTTGTTTTCTGTCGTTTTCTGTCTCTATGTTGTCATTTTGCGTCTTTGTAGAGGTTTGTGTGTCTTTGTGGTTGTCCTGGATCTCTGTGTAGTCTTTTTGTGTGTCTTTGTAGAGTTTTGTGCCTCCTCGAAGTCAATGTGTGTCCTATTGCAGTTGGTTTTTAGTCTTTTTTTGTCTCTCTGAGGTTGTCCTGGGTCTCTTTTTGGTGTTTTTCTGTCTCTTTGTGGTTGTTGTGGGTCTGTTTTGGTGTTTTTGGTTTTTTTGCTTGTTTTTCTATTTGTTTGTTGTGTTTTTTGTGTTTTGTTTTTTTTGTGTTTTTTTTTGTTTTTCTAGTTTTGTTGTCCTTTAACAGGTCCAGCTTGCTACCGGGTCGGATCCTTCCTCCTTCAGAACTTTGAGTTGTGGGCGACATTTTCAGGTTTGGGAACCGACGATGGACATTTTCTAAACGAACAGCTGATCGATCGATCCAGGAAAAAACAGCGATAATAAAAGTAAGGTTCAGTTCTTCACTGACTCAGAACCGGGCCGCGGTGCCGTACCTTTCTCACAGTACGGTTCTCCGTCCTCCATGTGGAAGAGGCTGTTTCCGAAGGCTTTGCCGCAGGCCGCACACACGAAGCAGGAAGTGTGCCACGTCTGCCGCAGGGCGTGCATCACTTCCTGTAGAATACAAAATAATAGAACAGACTCAGTTTATTTATGTCGCACAGCAAGACGTCTTTAAATCCGTCTGTCGGTTTGGTTTCTAGTTTTCATGCACTTCATGTCAAATGTTGGTTCATCAGGGCCGTACAGGTAAACACAAACAAATAAACAAACCTAGAATAAACATTTAGGAGCCGAGGGAGGACGGCTGGATGTTCACGAGAAGAAATCCTCACAAATCAAACAAAACTCAGATTCTCTGAGGTTATAAAATCAGTTTAACCAGGAAAAATCTTACAAATGTATGAGAAAAGAAAATCAAATCATCTCTGAGACTTATTGCATGAATTTACAGAAAAAATCACAAATTTACAAGAAAAGATGTGAACATTCTGTGCAGCTAATAAATCATATATTTACCACAAATTTATGAAAAAACTGCAAATTTACAAGAAAAAAACTCAAATATTCTCGGTCATACATGTTCAAACGTACAAGAAAAGACTTGACTGGTCCCTGAGAATATAAAGTTTTACATTTACGAGAAAAAAAAATTATTGATACAAGAATTTATGAAAAATTTATTGTAAAAAATAAAAGTAGGAATTTACGAGAATTTTAAAAATGTTCTGTGAGATGATGAAGCCAAATTTAGGAGATAAAAACAGAGTTTTATCAGTGACTTCATTGAACTACAGATTCACCCAAAAACAGACATTTATGAGGAAAAAACACAAATTTTAGATAAAAACGTGAATTTTCTCCTAAATTATTCACTAATTATTAAGTCAAGTTCATTAGAAAAAATGGTCATCGAAGATTATAGTCAGAAATTTATGACCTGAAAAAGTCACAAAATTACGAGAAAAAAGCCAAATGTGTGTCCAGGTATACAGGTGTGTAGGTATGGAGGTGTACATGTATACAGATGTGTATGTTTCCAGGTGTGTATGTATACAGGTGTGTGTATATCCAGGTATCCAGGTGAGCCGTCTCACCCCCATGATCTTGGTGTTGCAGCGAGCGCAGGTCGGGGCGAAGAACTCCTCGTAGCAGTTCTCACAGTAGACGTTGTTCTGCTCCTCCACGAAGCTGACGTCGGCCAGAGACATGTGGCAGTAGTGGCAGTTGAACTCCTCGGGGTGCCAGGACCGGCCCAGAGCCACCAGGAAGGGGCCCCTGAACACAGAACACAGCGTTTAACCTCAGGACCACTAGAACCTGTCAGACGGTGAAGAGCAGCAGCTCACCTGATGACGCTGTTGCAGGCTCCACACAGCGGCGTGCGGCTGCTGGCGGCGAACCTCTCCGCCCGCTGGGCCACGCCCCTCGCTACAGGTGGGAAGGGGGCGG